ATGATTCAGTGATGATTGATGATTCAGGGATGTCATCATCCAGCCCAGCTCTCTTCCAATAGTGTCTGTACAATCAGTCAAGCATCCCCAACTAAGGATGCCAAAGGCAACAGTGGCAAGGAACCAAAACTCCATCGGTGACAGAAATGGAGAAAAAACCTTGGGAGAAACCAGGCTCAGTCTCTGGCCAGATGAAACCAGCATGGCGTGGTTTAATTCCAGGCTGCAAGTGAGGCAAAGCGAACGCACACCTGTAGAGGTGCAAGTTGAAGGAAAAAATGACCTAATTGAAAGAACAACTGCACACTTACTTAAGCATAAGCTATTTGAGTGGGTGTACAATTAGTTAATTCCAGGCTGCAACACAGGTCAGAATGTGCAGAGGACTTGTCTGGTTCTCGTGGTCCTGTGCCGATGGTCGTCGAGGTGACAAGTTGTAAAAGTTTTGTGATATTGTGGAAAAACTATTAAACAGGTCATAAACCCCACCCGTAAACGAATGGGACTTGAGTCAAAATAAAAAAATAAATTACACTTCTAATACAATTTTCCGAAAGATGGTTTTGGTCATTTACAGATAGTTGTTATCACGCTGACATAGGTTCAATTGTTCGTTTTTGTGATATGGTTGATTTTATACCCTTACTTGATAAGAATGGTGTATGCCGGAAAGTAGCGATCAACATCATTCTTGTGTGTGTGTACGTGTTTAAAAATATCCACCTTATTTTTCCCGTAAGAGCGGACTCGGCCATTTGTACATTTTATGGGTCTGTCTTCTGGTCTCATCTGCATCCAGCTATTTTTAGCTGTACAAAACAGTTCGTTTTGCTGCTTGATATTGAAAATTGGTCTTATCATATTATCATCTTATTTACACTACAGTGTGCACTACAAACACACTGGTTTGTAGTGCAAACTGTTTTACCGTTTACTGCATGTTGTTATTCTCCTTGTTATTTACCTATAGCGGGTAATGATCCGGAAGTCTCACCCATAGGCTTACTTCCGCGTTGAAGAAAAAGGTGGATAGTGGAAGGAGGTGGAGACACGTCGTCCATCTTTTTTTTACAGTCTATGGTGTGTGTATATACATAGACATATAAATACCTAGACGCCTCATTGGCCGCTTTGAGCCGTTGCTGCGATACGTCAACGCGTCCGCCATGTTCGTGAAGGCAAGACTGCCTTAAAAATAAATGGAGGTAAACGGAGGAGCTGCGTTTTTTTCTGGATAAAAACACTTATTATGTCTATGTGTGTATATATATATATATATATATATATATATATATATACATTTTCCACAATATACAATATATTATTGTATTTTTAAATATTAATTTGCACTGTGTTAAATGGAAGAGGTCAAGAGAATACTGTTCAATAAAAAAACATTACTCAAGTTGTTGGAGTTATTGTACTCAATGTGTTTCAGGCATTCAGTTGCCACAAAGTTTTTAATTTTTAGTAAACTTAGTCATAATAAAATATTTAAGTAGACTTAATAAAAACTTGAATTAAACTAATCAAAAAGTACATGTAGCATAAATATTTAACTTCTGAAAACATGATTTTAAAGGGGTCATATGATGTTGCTAAAAAGAACATTATTTTGTGTATTTGGTGTAATGAAATGTGTTTATGCAGTTTAAGGTTAAAAAAACACATTATTTCCCACATACTGTACATTATTGTTTCTCCTCTATGCCCCGCCTTTCTGAAACGTGTCTATTTTTACAAAGCTCATCGGTCTGAAAAGCGAGGTGTGCTGTGATTGGCCAGCTATCCAGTGCGTTGTGATTGGCCGAATACCTCAAGCGTGTGACGGAAATGCTACGCCCCTACCATACTGTGATGCCCTGATCTCCGGAGCGACGAGACAAAAACATTAAAACCCATTACAAACGAGGCATTGTTGCTCACGAACAGCTTGTAACACTCCAAAGAGAAAGGAAAACTTGAAATCGCATCATATGACCCCTTTAAGTTTATTAACTCAAATTTATTAAATCAATCAGCTGCCTTTATTTTTTTTGAGTTCTGTTAACTTATCAGGGTTTACAGTGTAGAAATAAACATAACGAAACATTTTACTAACAATTTCTAAACATTTGGGTTTTAATGGATATCTGTTGCACAAATAGTAAAGGTGCAATTATAAATTCATTAATGGACCAGCACGTACGGTACGTGTATGTTAAGACTTTTTGGGGACTTAGAAAATTTTAATGTTTTGAGTCTCTGTGTTACATTAAAATCTGAAGCCCCCATGCTGTGTTACATAATTCAGTTAAAAATGTCTCACCAATCGCCCACATTTCTTCAGTCTTCTCATTAAAAACACTGACAAAAAGACAAAAACAAATAATGCTTAATTTATTCCAAGGGGAAATTACTGAATGATTACACATTACTCAGATTTTTTTGAGTAATTTGCCTGCTCAGACCTTGTACTATTTTCCTCTTTTTACTGGTAACCAATAGACAGGGACATATATAGTAAATGCATAGAAACTGTTGAAAGGGAAATGAAACCCATTCAAGCCTGATGAGAAAAAAAATGCATATTTTGGCCCCCGTAGTCTAAAACTTCATCTCGAACCTCTCAGTTTTAGAATTGTGAACTCATTATCAAGTACCAAACTCAGGGTGTTAAAATGGAGAAATAGTGAAATTGCAAAGATGATCACCATATAACACACCATAATCAGGTTATAGGGTTATAATATAGATTACAATATACTTAACCAAGTATGCTGGAGAAAGGTTATTTTGTCTCATTCAAAGTTTGTCTCATTTGTTTTTAGAATTTCATAAACACTGACCAGAGAACATCACACAAAAAATGAAGAAGCTTGGGTTGCAATTTAATCACACCTCGCTTGATTTTAAGGCGATAAACTATAACATTCTCTCTTACTGGTGTCTAATTAAGGCCTCAATAAATAAGTAAAATAAATAACTAGTGGTGTGATGGAAAGAGATACCACAGGACAAAAACACATTTGAAAATGAGTCTCAGCTCTCAGCTCATAATCTAGCATACATTAGCACAGTGGTACTTGTCATCAGTTTTGGTTCCTCAGACTGAAATGAGCCATGAACCTGTCACTCATAGGCTATTAAAAGCAACACAGGAAAGAAAACTGACTCCAGCCATTTCTTTGGAATGTATGAGCTAAACAATTCAGGGAAACTGTTACCAAAACTTAAATACATTTTTATTTATTGATTGAATTAAACCTTTGCAAACATTATTTTGATGATTGTAATTTAAATTAATATAGGCTGAAATGTCTGCATTAATTTTCTTTAAAGAAAAAGTCCTAGTGCGTTAGTGAAATTTTCTTGATAACTTTGAAAATTTCGAACAAATTTCTATTTCCCAGCAGGCTTTGTATAGGATAGGATAAGGAGAATAATTGTTGAAATCATGTTATTTTATGTTTTTAGTAGCAAAGACCTGTTAGTGTTTAATGCTGTTATGTTTGACATTTGAAGGAGTTTCTGTTATGTTGACGTTTTTGTGGTTACCATTGTGCTAAAGAGCTTGTGGTTAGGTTGTGGGTGGCTACATATATGCGCAACATTGACCAGATGAACAATTATTGCACTAATGTTGCCGAAGAGTAAGTTATATTCAGCATGAAACGAGCCAGCTGTTAATTTGAACTGGAATAGATAAAATGAATTGGTTCCAGGGCCATCTCTCAGTTATTTTCAGATTAGTTGAAATCACCTTAAAATGTAAGTTTAAGTTCTAAGTCACAGTAGTTTCTTAGTTTAGCATATTTTCAGTTGTCAGAACTCAAAAAGATTGTTGAAGACTGTTGGTTTTTATTTTTTTTGTTGTTGAAACAAAACATTTTTAGAGTGTATACAAATAATTGGTAGAAGCTATAAAAATAAAAAAGCTTATTGTAAAACAATTTACTATTCCTAACATTTCAATCATATTAAAAACTTGCGTTGTCAATACATAACATCCAGTTATAAGACAAACTTTGAATGTTTAATTTAGAATTTTCAACATGTTGGTGACAACCATGAAAACATCAGTTTGACACAGCAGCTTGCTCAATCACTGAGCTGATGACAACAGCAATTCAATCTCTCCCAGTATAAAACAAGAGACAAATGTTGCACAACTGTAGAGAGCAGTCAATAGAAGTGATAGGAAAGACTGGAACTTGGACAAAAGCAAAACCTCTTGCATATCTTTGCAATAGTGCAATTATTGAAAAACTCAAGAACTGTCAAATTGCTGCACCAGCTTTACATCGCTGCCTCTTTACGGAAGATATTAAGATATAGGAATAGACATGTCGTCATCATTACTATATTTATCAGCACATCAAGATTATTAAACATAGTATTCAAATAAGGCATGAAATACAAAGGTTTAACATGAGTTGATAGCTGAAGTAATCAAATCATGACAAACCAAAAGTAACTTTAGATAAGCTACATACGGACAAGCAGTTCAGTGCAGCTTTTGATACATAAAACAATATCACATATTTATAACAAAACAGACATTTGGGAAAAACATATTCCTCACATTCACATTGATGGTTGTTACTGTCTGTTTATAATAGTACAGCCGGCCAGCATTACTTACATAATGATGAAAATCAAATGTACTCAATTTTACATAAGTTAAAAGATGACTGCTGACAGCTGATGAGATGATGGTGACAGATGGAGGTCAAAGTCAAGGTTTTGATTAATTTCTGTCCAATAGAAAGAAGAACACAAGGGCTTTTGGGATTTCTGCAGTGGCATTACAGAGTAGACAACCTGAGAATACAATAGTTTGTTAAATGCTAAATGTAAATGCTGTTACACATAGTTCTCTGTGCCGCCTCTGGGTGAAAGGCCAAGGTCAATGTAACTGGTACAAAAATACAGCAAACGCTCACACAAAAGTCTCTAGAGACCTTCAAAAACAGATGCACACTCTTTCAAATATTCTTAAA